TGTCATATAGTATGGTGGGGTATGGTATAGTTTGGTGTGGTAGGTATGGTATAATGGTATGGTATAGTTTGGTGTGGTGTTGTATAGTATGGTGTGGTGTTGTATAGTATGGTGTGGTATGGTATAGTAGGTATGGTGTGGTATGGTATAATGGTATGGTATAGTTTGGTGTGGTGTCGTATAGTATGGTATAGTTTGGTGTGGTGTCGTATAGTATGGTGTGGTGTGGTGTGGTATGGTATAGTAGGTATGGTGTGGTATGGTATAGGTATGGTATAGTTTGGTGTGGTGTTGTATAGTATGGTGTGGTATGGTATAGTATAGTAGGTATGGTGTGGTATGGTATAATGGTATGGTATAATAGTATGGTGTGGTGTGGTGTGGTATGGTATAGATTGATATGGTATGGTATGGTATAATGGTATGGTATAGTTTGGTGTGGTGTTGTATAGTATGGTGTGGTATGGTATGGTATAGTAGGTATGGTGTGGTATGATATAATGGTATGGTATAGTTTGGTGTGGTGTCATATAGTATGGTGGGGTATGGTATAGTTTGGTGTGGTAGGTATGGTATAATGGTATGGTATAGTTTGGTGTGGTGTTGTATTGTGTGGTGTGGTATAGTTTGATGTGGTATGGTATAGTTTGGTGTGGTATAGTTTGGTGTGGTATGGTATAGTTTGATGTGGTATGGTATAGATGGTATAATGGTGTGGTATAGTTTGATATCACAGTATCTTGTGGTGTGGTGTGGTATGGCATGGTATGGTTTGATATGGTATGGTATACTGTATTATAAAATAACATGTATATAACGCGTGCTCTGATTGGTCGAAACCCGTGTTTGGATCAGGCCATCCAAACACGGAAATTTAAGTTTTTTAAAGTGAAATTTTAACACGGAAAATTTCGGCTCGTGATTTCGCGTGCTTTTCTTAACTCTCGCAACATTCCCGCGTGTTCGGATCAGGCCATCCAAACACGGAAACCATAAAGTAATTGTATAGTATGGCATGCTATGGTATGAAATAGTATGGTAAGGTATGGTGTGGTATTCTATTGTATGGTACGTAATTATGTTAATAGTACTCTGTACCAGTATGGTAAGTGACAATGCGAATTGAAAGGGGATAATACAAGTAAAAGTTCAACTTTTTTCCACCTAAGGGACTGGTTATAAAGTAACTGCTAGGGTGGGCTGGAGGTAAATCACAAATTATGCCAATAAGTTCGGTGACCCATCTTAGGATGTAGATAAAAATTTCAAAGCCCATCTAATCTTACAAAAAAATTTTCATGACCCACCCAATCTAAATTGGGAAAATGCACTTTTATAATAAAAAAAACTTGCAGGTATGAACATGGTATATAACACGGCACTGCATTGACATACATAATTCCACCAAGCTTGACCAACACATTAATACTGAACTGCTCTCCAGTTGGTTGTATTTGCTGTGATTCGACCACTTTTTGTTGTTGTATAAACAAAGTAGTGGCTTCAATATCATCATTTGCATTTGATAATTTGGATAGTTTTGCTTACTTTTATTATTAATATCTTTATTTTTTGAAGTAGACATGCATGGGTTTTTGTTTGGTGGCCCAACCGTGGACATACAAAAACATTGGCGGCCAATCGAAACTGCCCGAAGATTTTCCATGGCCCATCCCAAATCACTCCAGCCCACCCTAGCAGTTACTTTATGACCGGTCCCTAACGCCTTCGTTGGGTCACTAAGGCCCCGTTTACATGAGACCTGGACGAAGTCAGACCGGAATGAAAATTGAAATTGTCAATATGTTTATTACATGAGACCGGTACGAAAATCACAAAATTTTCAATTCATTCCCCTTGCCAGGCAATTTTCTTTTTTAGATGGCTTTTATCCGCACGTGTTGTTTCAATAGCGAGCTTAAGATCTACAACGCGAACTTACGACGCGGACGTCGCATTAAACAAGTTTTATTTTAAAACGATGGCAAATACCATTAAAATATTTTGATCACAGTAAATAAAATGAAATTATACTGGAAAAATGTACAACATAACAGAGGCTATAGCAATATATTA